TGGTCATCTCCAAATGTGTTGGAGTGCAGCTGTCGCAATCCCTGGCACGTATAGAATTGGTCGCAATAATTTTAAGGAGAAGGTTTAAACTTCAGCTTGAAGGTTTGGGAATCAGTCTTCTGACTTTCATTCATTTCTCCCAGCATGTGGTGTAGGTCATCTACGGCACTTCTTCTTCATGCCAGAACTATCTAAATGTTGAGCCAGAGATCTTTGAAAGATCTCTGTGGATCAGTGGTGGGTTGCCCCCGGTTCGGACAGGTTTGCAAGAACCGGTAGTAAAATCGGCTGGAGGTCCCGCCTACCGCCCCAGATGTCATCATCGGTGATCTGCGTATGCACAGAAGCTTCTGCACATGCATAGAAGCAAGGTGCACACATGAGTGAAGCAAGGGCGCGCAGTATATTTCCCTTGGAGTAGGTTGGGAATGGAGATTTTGCAGTATCCTTCCCCTGCCATGCCCACCAAGCTACGCCCACCAAGCCATACCACGCCCATCAAGCCACACCCACAGAACCGGTAGTAAAAAAAAAATGGATTTCACCACTGCTTCACGGTGGTAATGTTTGTAAGGCTAAGTAATAAAATATTGGCTCAATTTCTATGCAAGACTCTATTTAACATAGTATCTAAAATCTGTCCTTTGTTTTCCTGGTATTTCTCACTTTTTTTTGGAGAAAAGGCTTCAGTTTTTCTTCCTCATTTTCAAATTCCTCAGGATTATTTTTAACATATTTAGGACTGCCAAAAGTGGGGGGGGGTGGGGTGGTTCGTTTTTGCTTCCTCTCTAGCAGTTCCTTTAGCTGCTCTATATCAGAACTAGAAAAGTTTCACTGGAAAAGTTCCATCTTAATGTTTTTCATCCCAAAAGGAAATTTAGATGGGGTTTCTCCAATAAAACCTTTACAGAGATTAAAAGAAAGACAAGCTATCACTGAAGAGACAGTTGTAGAATGAGACAATAGAAGAGAAGAGAAAATATAGAATGGAATGGAATGGAATGGAATTAGGATAGAACAGAACAGAACAGAACAGAACAGAACAGAACAGAACAGAACAGAACAGAATAGACCAGTGGTGGGTTCCTCCCGGTTCGGCCCGGTTCTGCTGAGCCGGTAGTGGTGATGATATGATGTCACCGAACCGGTTCTGCCCCCCGGCCCCCCACCTCCCCCTGCATTATTCTTACCTTTTATTTGGCCCTACCCCCAATCTATTGCTGCCTCCTGAGTCCCAGCTGATGGGCTATAAGGAAAAACTGTTTAAACTCTTGCCGGGGGCTTCAAAGGGCCGCCCTACAGCTGATCAGTGGTAAAAGGCAGTTTGGTGCCTCCAAAAATAAATCAGTAGACTGGTGCCTGCAAAAATAAATTGTAGCTCTGCAAGCAGTTAAAAGCCTGGTAGACCAGTACCTCTGCTAAATCCTAAAGAATTGTCACATGACCATCAAGCCACGCCCACAAAATAAGCCACACCCACAGAACCAGTAGTAAAACATTTTAGAAGCCACCCCCTGGAATAGACGTTGGAAGGAACCTTGGAGGTCTTCTAGTCCAGCCCCCTGGTCAAGCAGGAGAACCTATACCAGTGATGGTGAACCCTTTTGGCACCAAGTGCCGAAAAGGGAGCGCATGCACAAGCGCCCTCGTCAGTGCCGCAACGAGGAAGAGGAGCTGCCCAGGGGGCATTCCCGCACCGGATAAGGTACTTCCAGTTTCCAGAACTGCTGCATGCACAAAGGCCAGCTGATTGTCGAGTGTGCATGGAAGAAGAATGAGCGACATTGCACGTAATATGGCTCTGTGTGCCACTTTGGGCATGCATGCCATGGGTTCGCCATCACAGACCTATAGAATTTCAGGCAATTTGTATGCACAAATGAACTGCTCACCGTGGAAAATTTCAGTTACTTCTCATTTTCCCCCTCTTTTCTTTTAAATCCAGTGGTCTTCCGGGTGCGCTTCAAGGTGTTGGTCACCACCTTTAAAGCGCTCCATGGCATAGGACTTGGGTATTTGCGGAACCGCCTTCTGCCGCCGATAGCCTCCCACCGACCAGTACGCTCCCACAGAGAGGGACTCCTCAGGGTGCTGTCAGCCAGGCAATGTCGGCTGGCGACCCCCAGGGGGAGGGCCTTCTCTGTGGCAGCTCCTGCCCTCTGGAACGATTTGCTCCCGGAGATACAAAGGATATCGGATCTCCGGGTCTTTCGCCGTGCCCTGAAAACTTTTCTTTTCCATCAAGCAGGGCTGGCATGAACCCCCCCCCAATTTTTTAGTCTTTTTTAGTTTTTTAGCTTTTAATTTGTCAATGGGTTTTAATTCGAATTGTTTTAAATTGGGCCTAAGTATGTAATTCTTTTAATAATTTTAAATTTTGTATTGGTATGTGTTTTAGTTCTGGCTGTGCACCCTGAGTCCACTTGGAGAAGGGAGGTATACAAATTGAATTAAATAAATAAATAAATAAATAAATAAATAAATAAATAAATAAATAAATAAATAAATATAAATGGAGTGGGAATGTTTAAAAAAAAAAAAGGGCAGATGAATTTTTCAGCCAGTTTTCTTTATCTACGAAAATATTTCAGTGTTTCCAAAAGCTGACTTGAGGCCAATACTGAAGTCAGGAAACATGAATTTAATTGGTACAATGCTTTAAGTAACCTCAATCCCTTCTCAAAAGGGGGGTGGGGAATAAATGCTTGCAACAACAGTTCTTTTCTGGGTTAGCACGATCATAATTTCATTTGGATGAAAAATGTCTCCTCTGTGTTTAAAAAAGAAATAAACAGACTGCTTTTTTCCCCAGATTATTCATAGTACAGACTCTTTTGATCCCTGCAGACGTGGCCTCCCCAAATATTCATTGAGGTTGTTGTGTGCATTGCTGGGAAAACATAAATATTGCAGGGACAACTGGCATCACAAAAAATGTATCTACAGTGTAGTTAAGTTGTTCTAGTAAAGAGCCTGTAGTACAGTGGACTAAAGCACTGTTATTAACATCTGCTGCTTGCAATTACTGCAAGTTCAAACCTCACCAGGCTCAAGGTTGACTCAGCCTTCCATCCTTTCAAAGGTAGGTAAAATGAGGACCCAGATTGAATAAACTGACTTTGTATAAATATACAAAAGTATGAAGGCTATTGCTTAGCGCATTGTAAGCCGCCCTGAGTCTCCAGAGAAGGGCGGCATATAAATTAAAGCAAAAATAAAAAATGGCACTTCTAAAGCAAAAGTTGCCAACTTCACATCGATTTAATAAAAATAGAATAAAACATGTAGCAAACTTTTTTTTTAACTGTACTAACTGCAAAGTTTTCCTGTTTGGGATTTTGCAAATGTAAACCGTTCACTCAAAGCAAATTGTCACATGAAAGAAAACAAACCTGAAACTTATAGTCTTTTATTAATAGGCTAGAGTAGGGGTCTACTCAAGGTCCAGGGGCTAGATTTGGCCTGCAGGATCCCTAGAAACAGTGAGGGACCAGCCCGCGGTGCCTCTGCCAGTGAAAACAGAGCTCGGGAGGGCCGCCACACGCGGCCCTCCCGAGCTCCGTTTTCACTGGCAGAGGGTTGCAGGAGGCCGTAGGAGTCGAAAACGCAGCCCAGGAGCCCGTTTTCGCTGGCAGAGCGCTTGGGCCACCATAGGTGTCCCCAACATGAGTGACATCAAGCTGGCCACACCCACCCTGGCCACGCCCCCCAGCCCCCCCCGAGGTCAAACACAACCCTGTTGTGGCCCTCAATGAAATCGAGTTTCACACCCCTGGTGTGAATTAGAGTGTGAATTCTAATCACACATAGGCACGAAAGCCAATTGGATGACTTTGGGCCAATCACCAGGAAACTGTGAGTTCTAGTTCTGTCTTAAGAATGAAAGCCAGCTGGGTTACTTTGGGCCAATCACCAGGAGGTTGTGAATTCTAGATCCGCTTTAGGCATGAAATCTGACTGGATGACTTTAGACCAATTACCAGGAGAGTGTGAGTTGTAGTCCTGCCTTAACCATGAAAGACGGCTGGATGACTTTAGACTGGTAACTCTCTCTCAGGCCAACTCTCAGGATTGGTATTGTGGAGAAAATAGGAGGAAGAAGGAGCATTAAGTATGCTTTACCACCTTTTACTTATCAAGTATTAAAAGCAGGATAAAAATCAAATCAATAAATAAATAAACTGCCAATGCTATAATTCCCAGCAGTTGGTACAAATCAGTCTTGGGCAATGCTAGCAAGCAGAAAAATTAGATGAGCAATTTTTCTGAGTTTTTTAAAAAGAAACTTGGAATTTTAATAATATCTTCTCGCAGTGATGAAATTCAAATTTTTTTACTACCGGTTCTGTGGGCATGGCTTGGTGGGCATGGTGTGGCTTGGTGGGCGTGGCTTGGTGGGCATGGCAGGGGAAGGATACTGCAAAATCCCCATTCCCTCCTCACTCCTGGGGGAAGGATATTGCAAGATCTCCATTCCCACCGCACTCTGGGACCAGCCAGAGGTGGTATTTGCCGGTTCTCTGAACTACTCAAAATTTCCGCTACCGGTTCTCCAGAACCTGTCAGAACCTGCTGGATTTCACCCCCGTCTTCCGGGTGCTCTCAGAATGCAAGGTAGTCTTCTCTGTATTTCTCTCCTACAAGAAGCTCCATGCCACCCCAATATATTTGTCCTTTCTTCAAACAAGGAACTTGTGGACAGCTTTTTTCTTTTTCTTTTTTCTAAGAAAATCTGGGTTCCGTTGACATTTCTTGGGAAATCAACATGAAGTGAGAGGCTAACGCTCTGCAGTGTGTCAACTTCCTATCTGTTGCAATCAAAATGTTCCTTTCAAACAAAAAAAAAAAATGTCAAATGCAACAGGAAGCCAGGCAAATATCCAAAGGGACATTTGAAGACCCAAAAAGACTCTCTGGCACTGTGTTGAAGGCTACTGGCGAAAACAAACACCGTTGATTTGAAGACATACCATTTTAATAACTAAAAGGCACCAAGCTGATTTACCAATCTTTTCCAAAATTTATTCGGTAATTTGCATACAAGTCAATGCATCAAAATTCATTGTTTCATCCCCTAAACTGTTTATCCCCTGTTTATAGTACTTTAAGTTTTGCTTGGCTTGCAAGGCAACCTTCGAATCTAGCATACTATTACTAATAATCACCTATTACAGAGATGCCACTGCAACATAGCAAAGCCAGTTCTTCCCTCAGATGCATAGAATATTCTGATTTCACCACTTCAGTGTAAAATAGAGTGAAATGGTCTGCTCTATTTGCTGTAGGCTGCCTTATCTTCCAGCAACTTCATTGTGGTGGTCTTAGAGATGGGCGTCACAGCCAGTCCTTTCGTGGGTCTACTCGGGGCAGGTTGCTCTCTTTGACCTGAAAACGTAACAAAGAAATTGCATCATCATCATCATCACAAAGAAAAACTCATGCCAGTGAACCAACAGGATCAATTGTTATAGTTTGTGGCACAGGAAACAGATGTCTAGATTTGATTTGCAATTTTTGTCAACCTCCAAGTCCTTTCCAAACACTTATATACATAAATACATACGAGTATCATTGTTATTTTGTAAGACACCAACTTCTATATTGACTTTGGGCAGCTTATAACTAAAAATCTATCAGACAGACAGACAGACAGACAGACAGACAGACTGTCTATCTGTCAGTCTATCTACCTATCTAATATCTATCTTCTATTTATCTATCATCCATCTCTATCATCTAGTTGTAACTATTATCTATCTTCTTTCTATATCTATCTAACAATCTATCAATTTATCTATCTATCATCTATATCTATCATCTATCTCTATCTATCTAGTATCTATTATTTATTTATTCATTTATTTATTTATTTATTTATTTCGTCAAGCATGTATTTTATGACAGATACAAGTGTAAGCATAATGATAAATACATGAAAAGGATACAAATAAAAGAAAACATTTTGACAGGGACGGTAGGTACGCTGGTGAGCTTATGCATGCCCCTAACAGACCTCTTAGGAATGGGATGAGGTCAACAGTAGACAGTCTAAGGTTAAAGTTTTGGGGGTTTGGGGAAGAAACCACAGAGTCAGGTAGTGCATTCCAGGCATTGACCACTCTGTTGCTGAAGTCACATTTTCTGCAGTCTAATTTGGATCGATTTACCATGAGTTTGTATCTATTGTGTGCTCTTGTATTATTTTGGCTGAAGCTGAAGTATTCATTGGCTGGTAGGACATTGTAGCAGATGATTTTATGTACTATGCTTAGGTGAGACCGAAGATGGCGAAGTTCTAAGTTGTCTAAGCCCAAAATTTCGAGTCTGGTGGCATAAGGTATTTTGTAGCATAAGGTATTTTGTTGATAGATAGATATTATCTAGATAGATATTATCTATCTATCATCTACCTATCATCCATTTATCTATCTATCTATCTATCTATCTATCTATCTATCTATCTATCATCTATCTATCTATCATCATTGATCTATTTCTCTTTGTCATCTATCTGTGGCCTTTATAAAAAGATACCAGCACTCAAATTGTACTTGGAAGCCAACTGGTATCCAGTAGAGCTTGCAAAATAGAACAATCACATGTATGTAATACTGCGCCCGATCACTCCCTGTCTTGCTGCATTCTGGACCAGCTGTAGATTCTAAATCAGGGGTGCCTAAAGCATGGCTGGCTGGGGAATTCTGGGAGTTGAAGCTCCCAGAGGTTTAAGGTCTTAAAGCTGCCAAAGTTGGATACGCCTGCTCTAGATAGTCTTCAAAGACCGCCCAAAGTAGATGCTATGTTGATATTATTTTGTCATTGTACTATAAATATTATTTCTCAAATTGATATGCTGCCCATCTTACAGTACACAGCAATATTGAGTGGCTTACAAATGATTCTTGCATTGTCTTAATCGTTTTGTTCGGAGCGCATGGTGCTTAGACTCAATTTGCAAATGAAGGAGTGTATAAGCAAGCCCTAAGTACATAAGTGAGGTCAATACGATGGACTTACAACTTGTCAAACTTTTTACAGTTTTGATGTAATCCCAAAAGGAGCATTCGGATTTTTTCAGTCCTTTATAATTCGGTAAAGATGCAGTAAACTCTTTATAATTGTCTCCACCCACGCGTGCACGAAACAAAGGCCAAGGCAAGAGTCCTTCTAGCCTCTTTCTTGAAAACTCGTAAGGGCTATTTGGATTTCTGCAGAAAAGAACAAATATAAGTCACCAGATTGCAACACAAACAACTCATGAAAACTACCTGAAATTGCAAGGGTTAAAAGATATATATACATATTTTTTCTTTGTACACAGGTAGTCCTTGTTTGATGACCTTAATGGAGCCTGCCCATTAGGGTCATAAGTCTTGATGGTCATAAAGCAGGTCACCCATGTGACCGACCTGATATGATGAGCTTTCTTTTTTCTGTGGTTGTTAAGTAAATTCCATGGTCATTAAATGAGCCAATGGATTACTTTGCATCTCCATTGACACTTGAAGTGGTAAAAGAGGAAGCGAGGAAGAAAGAAGAAGGAAGAAAGAAGGGAGGAGGAGGAAGGAGAAGGAAGAAGGAAAAAAGAGAAGAAGGACAAGGAGGAGGAGGATTAGGAGGAGGAGGAGGAGGAGGCATGAATGAATTTCCAAGGTCATCTCATTGGCTTTTGTAGAACATGAGATCACATAAATATTAATATGATAAATAAATGCCTATGTGCTTCTGACAAAGGGACTTTACTATCGTTTTTCCATCCTTGCAGTAACGCCTGGAGTTGGGTCACCATGATGTCCTTTTTCCAGTTGGAGAACATAGAAGGATACAGCTAATTGTCATGATGACATTGTCAGCCATGGCTTTGATGTCTCAAAGACCAAGACTCCCAAATTACAGTAGTATAGAGAGATTCAGAGTGCTTCCTGATTGTATCAGCGCGGTCTAAATCACGCACAGCCAAATTATATGACATTAGCTGAACCACCATCAGCTGCTCTCATTCATATATTGCTCATGACGTTTTAGTTCCAGTTAACATGGGCATAGCACTAAGCCAGAAACAGATGTTTGCTTCCTCTTTTCCAGCAAAAACCGTCCCATAGTGGTCAATGGGTTCGTTTAACAACTGTGGTGTTTGCTTAACAAGCATGGCATTTGCTTTACAATCATTCACTTAACAACCATTACAAAGAAGGATACAAAGAAGTTTTACAGCCATCATGATTTACAATCAAAATCTACAATACGGTCATAACTTGAGGACTACCTGCACGTACCATAGAGTTGCATTCAAAAGCAGAGTTCAAACTGCTTTAACAATAGAAAGGTCATCCTTCAACTTTCAGTGATCAAAGCTCTTAGCACTTACCTAGATTTTATAAAGTTGGACATAAACACACTTAACACATACCCAGATTTTATAAAGTTGGACATAAAAACTCTTAGCACCTACCCAGATTTTATAAAGTTGGACTTAAACATGCTTAGCACCTACACAGATTTTATCAAGTTGGACATAAAAGGCTTAGCACCTACACAGATTTTATAAAGTTGGACATAAATATGCTTAGCACATACCCAGATTTTATAAAGTTGGACATAAAAACACTTAGAACCTACCAAGATTTTTTAAAGTTGGACATAAAAAGTCTTAGCACATACCCAGAATTTATAAAGTTGGACATAAAACATGCTTAGCACCTACGCAGATTTTAAAGTTGGACATAAACATGCTTAGCACCTACCCAGATTTTATCAAGTTGGACAGGCTAGCACCTACGCAGATTTTATAAAGTTGGACATAAACATGCTTAGCACCTACCCAGATTTTATAAAGTTGGACATAAACATGCTTAGCACCTACCCAGATTTTATAAAATTGGACATAAACATGCTTAGCACATACCCAGATTTTATAAAGTTGGACATAAAAAACTTAGCACCTACCCAGATTTTATAAAATTGGACAGGTACTGCATAATGACTAAGGAGAGAGTCTTCTCTTCCTGCGTATATCGGTTTTTATACTGAGGATAAAAAGGTAGGCCAAATGCAAGCTGTACATCAGGAATGTATTCCAGGCTTGAGCTGAAAAAAGAAAGCAAGAGAGTGAGCAAAAATACTGTAATTTTACTTAATTTACTAAATAGCACTTCCATTAAAAAAAAGGGGGGGGGACCGATATCTCACAGATTTTGTTTATTTAGTTATCATATTTATGATATGAGCATTTGTAGTGTCCCATGATACATTTGTTAATCTTCAAAATAAACTACAAGACTCTGAATCAAACAAACATAAATATTTCCCTGGGGATGAGCAAACAGATATTGGAGGTGCTAAATGCTCAATCACAAATCATCATGATATAGTTTAGATGTAACATTATGCAATAAACCAAGATTTACAGTTCACCATAGTTACATTTTCACACTGGCTGATGTTTATTATATTTATGTTTGTGAATAGTTGGAACTCTTAACAAAATTCATTATATACTTTTTAATCTCTTACAGACCACGGATCTTAAAACTTTATTTCGCCCTGAAAGTTGGCATACAGATGTTTTAAAACAGTGGTTCTCAACCTGTGGGTCGGGACCCCTTTGGGGGTCGAACGACCCTTTCACAGGGGTCGCCTAAGACCATCGAAAAACATATTTTCAATGGTCTTAGGAACAATTTTATGGTTGGGGGGTCACCACAACATGAGGAACTGTATTAAAGGGTCACGGCATTAGGAAGGTTGAGAACCACTGTTTTAAAAAATGATTTTTTTTAGTCAAATGCATCATGGTTGTATAACCCATAAACTTTCCTCCTTTTTCCACAGCACATTTCCAAACCTCATTGTTTAACATTGAATGATCTCATTAGAAGACATTCATCTTCTGCCTATTTAGCTGCTCTTGTGAATAGTTTGGTTTTAGCTATTCAAAAAAGAAAGAAAAATACATTGGGAAGCAATGGAATTGGATGTAAATTATCTCTCGGGTCAAAAGCAGCAAGCCCTAAGTTTTGATTTACAACCATAATTTTGTGTGCGTCTGCATATGTGTTTGAGTCAGGGTGAGGTCTCTTCTGTAGAAATAAAAACAAGAAGCTGCTATAATTCATTTCTAATTCAAGAATGACTAGAAATGCAGTTAAAAATAGAAGCGGGGATCTGGCATACACCTCATCTTTTTTTTGCCTAATTCCCTGAAAATGTCTATTTCTGCCTGTTTTCAAGATCACAGATGTGCTGAGTTAAAATGACGTGTGAATGGCTGAAGAGGATTTAACTTTAAAAACAATGCTCGAAAGTTGAGCAGGCCTTGAATCAGAAATGTCCACCGAGTATGGTACAAAAAAATAAATAAAATCAAAATGGCGTCCACAATGGAGTGAGCAAAGCTCCATCGTCTATGGAGATTCTTAAGTCATCCAGGTCATGGTTGTCCCAAAGGTGCTTTTTCAAGAGGCCACTGGACTTTCTGGTTTTTCTTTGAAGATGTTTCGCTTTTCATCCAAGAACTGAAGAAGCTTCTTGGATGAGAAGTGAAATGTCTTCAAAGAAAAACCAGAAAGTCCAGTGGCCTTTTGAAAAAGCACCTTTAGGACAAAGCTCTATCGGTTTTTATGCTTAAGGTAAAGGTAAAGGTTTCCCTCACACATATGTGCTAGTCGTTTCTGCCTCTAGGGGGCGGTGCTTATCTCCATTTCAAAGCCAAAGAGCCAGCGCTGTCCGAAGACATCTCCATGGTCATGTGGCCGGCATGACTAAACGCCAAAGGCGCACGGAACGCTATTACCTTCTCACCAAAGGTGGTCCCTATTTTTCTACTTGCATTTTTTATGTGCTTTTGAACTGCTAGGTTGGCAGAACCTGGGACAAGTAACGGGAGCTCACCCCGTTATGCAGCACTAGGGATTCGAACCGCTGAACTGCCGACCTTTCGATCGACAAGCTCAGCGTCTTAGCCACTGAGCCACACATATAAAAAGATAGCGAAACTTCAACTACACCTCCATGATTATGTCTTCTTCTTCAGACCATACCATGTGGACATCCCTGAGCCGAATTAATGAAGTACAAACATGTGAAAAGATAAGAAAGTTCTTAGAAGAAATTTCTAAAATGCTTTCAGAGAAAATGGGAAAAATTCAATTCAAAGTCCACTCCCCCACTCCAAAAAAACCTATTGTTCTTTTCTTCTTAAAAAAAGAATATGCAGGAGAAAAAGCAGATTTCAGGAGAAAATGGGAGAGCCCTTAGCTTATTTATTTTATTTATTTTGTCATTCATCCATCCACTAATTCAAACATTTATATAGCCGCCCATCTTATAACCAACTCTGGGCAGCTCCCAATTAAACTATACGATTATACTTTCCACCCTTGGAAAGTGGAAAAGGTGCTCTGTCTGCCAAGTATGATGAGAACCAGGTTTATTTCCAAAACCATGCGGATGGCTGACAATAATCCTGGCTAATGTGAGGGAGGCCTTAATCATGAGGAGAACGTCTCTTCGATTTGCAAACATTTCTTTCGTGACCGAAGTTACAATAGCATTGAAAATTGTGATTTATGAGTGTTTTTCAGACTTATGACCACTGCAGTGTCCCCAGGGTCATGTGATCAAAATTCAAATGCTGGCAACTGGCATGTACTTATGACGGGGTGGTGTCCTGGGGTGGGGGGGTGTCAAGTGATCGCTTTTTGTGACCTTCTGACAAGCGAAGTCCATGAGGAAGCCAGATTTACTTCACAACCAGGTTACTAACCTAACAATTGTGGTGATTCACTTAACAACTGTGGCAAGAAAGGTCGTAAAGTGGGGCAAAATTGACTTAATAACATCTTTCCTGCTTAGCCACAGAAATTTTGGGCTCAATTGTGGCCGTAAGTCGAGAACTACTTTTAAAGACAACACTCTTTATTAGGTGGCAAGCTAACAACTAAACTAATTTAGCATTAGACTTCCAGAAAAGGGGAAAAAACACATTGTGAAATAAAATCAATGGTTTGGCATTCAAGATCAAGATGGCGAACTTAGGGATCGTTCTGAGGGACGGTGCTAAAAAGGGAATGGAGACCTATATGAAGCATTCAAATCACAGGCTACCCAATCCTGGTTTTTTATGGCGTTCAGCTCTCTGTATCACCCCTTTTAGTACGGCTGTGAGGAGATTGAATGTAGATTCAGTGAGGTTGGACTAGATGACCGACAAGGTCCCTTCCAACTCTGTTATTCTATTCTATTTAAACGTAGGGGAAACTGTGTCAAAACTATGAAATCCTGCCTCCTTTTCACATTTATTGCATGTGAATGAACAAGGAGTGGTGATTTTGACAGGGATATAGCCCTTTCCATCTTGACTTTTTTAACCGGTCTTGGGTGGCCCTGATTGGATACATCCAATACAGGTAGTCCCTGACTTACAACAGTTCATTTAGTGATCATTTGAAGTTACGACGGCACTGAAAAAAGTGACTTATGAACATTTTTCATATTTATGACCATTGCAGCATCCCCATGGTCACGTGATTTACATCCGAATGCTTAATAAATGGCTCACATTTATGACATTTGCAGTATCCTGGGGTCATGTGGTCCCTTTCTGTGACTTTCTGACAAGCAAAGTCAATGGGGAAACTAGATTCACTTAATAACCGTGTTACTAATTTAAGAACTGCAATGATTCACTTAACAAATGTGGTTAGAAAAGTTGTAAAATGGGGCAAAACACAGTTAATCAAATTTCTCACTTAACAACACAAATTTTGGGCTCAGTTGTGGTCGTAAGTTGAGGACTACCTGTACTGCAGGCTAACTCATTGCTCACTAACTTTGGACACAGTAAGGGACTGTGGTTACAGGTAGTTCTCGACTTACGATGTGGAATTATGGTTGTAAATCATGCCAGTTGTTAAGCAGGTCACCAAGTGACAGCCCCCAACCTTGTTACACATATCACTTCAGTCATTAAATGAATTGCACAGTCGTTAAGTGAATGCACCTTCCCCCATTGATTTTGCTGGTTGGAAACCATCTGGGAAGGTCATAAATCATATGACTCAGGGAGGCTGCAACTGTCAGAATGCTGGCTGCCAAGAGTCCACATTTTGATCATGTGTCCACAGAGATACCCTGATGGTCATAAGTGTGAGAACCGGTCATAAATCACTTTTTCCAGTACTGTTGTGACTTTGAATGATTGCCTAACAAAGGGGTGTTAGTCATTTTCCAGATAAATTTGCTTTACCGCTTTATCTGCTGCCGAATCGTGATGCAATGTTAAATCCACCGTTTTGCAATTCTTTGCTACTTCCTTATGAATTTTCACACTGTTGCAACATATCTGCAAATATTAAAATTATATCGGGTAAAGCCTAACGGGATAATTCTGTCTATTATCTTCAAATCACTGGATGCATAATGAGCGAACTGCATCTCAGAAGTCTTAAATTTGAGACTTAAATCATTAAAAAAGAATGTTTGGACAAGAGGTGAGTCAATATTTGTGTTTGTACAAAAATTAACAAAAGGCCACATCAAATAGAAATGTGAAAGGCTCGATGTAAACAGAAATTTGACTAAATCAGACACTGTGCCAGATTCAAAAGGAAGTTAACTGCCTTCAATGTGATTTCCATTTGCTCACCAAGAAATGCTTACAAACCCGAGATTTTTCACATTTGTTGCAAAATCAGCACAGATGTTGCTAAATAAACATTGTATGCGCGCATATTCCTAAATTGAGATTTAAACTTCGCTGGAGCTGTTTCAGTTTTTATTTCGTTACTCCAGATTTTAGTCTCTCACTCTATCCAAAACCTCTTATGAAAATAAAGGAATCCTGGGTTTTTGTACAGTTTTCCTAATGACCATTGGCTAGTTAGACTAGGAACCGAAGTCAAGAAATTGTGGAGACAAAAGCTTAGATTAAGTTCTCACTGCTGTCAAGGCTGGTGGTCCACAGAGATCTAGTTAATTTATTCACGTGCAGCTCAGTTTTAGCAATATAAATGTGATAGCTGGCTAGACAGGGAAATCAAAAATGCATCTCAAAAGAAAGGTAGTGATGATTTAATTTGATAACGCAGGAAGTCCTAGACCAGTGATGGCTAACCTTTTTGCCGTCGCGCGCCAAAAGCGGGGGGAGCGCGGGGGGGGATTGTGCAAATGCGTGCCAACACCCATAATTCAATGCGCCCTGCCCCCCAGCGCATGCGACCCCACACGCTCCCCCTGCTTTTGGCACATGATAGCACGATGGGCCAGGTAGGCCTGTTTTTTGACCTCCCCAGGCTCCAGAGGCTTTCTAGGATCCTGGGAAGGGCAAAAAGGGCCGACCTCAACCTCCTGGAGGCCCTCCGGAGGCCGGAAACAGCCCGTTTCCCGACTTCTGGTAAACCCGGATGGCCCAAAAATCAGCTGGCTGGCGCACTCTGGTTTCTCTTCAGATCGTATAAATCTTTCGCCTTTTACTTTTTTGGGAGTTTCAAGATAACCATATTCCACTGCTGGAATGGTCTGGGAATAGCCTAGGCCTTAACTCAATTGAAAATCTATAGAGCCGACTAAAGAAACTTGTTCGTCAGAAGCGACCCAGCAATAAAACCCAGTTAATAGAAGCAATCATTCAATCTTGGTTTCACATTATAACAGATGCAGAACTAAAAGACTTGGTTCACTCCATGGGAAGACGTCGTAAGGCTGTAATTCATGGTCATTTTTTTCTATGGTGAGAATTTTTGTATATCTCATTTTTTTCTATGTGTTTCACTAACCTTCTTTATACTATAACTGCTATTCTAATAACAAATCCTTCATAAAAGTTATTGCATTACAATCTTGATTAAATTATCTTTCCATTGATGTACAATTTTATGGTACTACTGCAAAAAAGAGTGATGTTATTAGCTAGTTTTAGAAAATACACTTTTCCCAAAAAGTTTCCACAATTTTGGCTACTACTGTACTTTTACTCTTATCTAAATCATTTTACGAATAAGATAGGTCAAAAGATTATCCTTACCTGCTCAAGGAATTGCTGTCTGGCACATGATACATGAAAATATTCCCTCTCTCGTTATTAGCCCATTCCTTTGCCATGTCTATAGTTGGGCAAATGATGAAGTGGTCTCTAAAAACAGTAAAGAAAGCATCCTTACAATCTGGAAACAATTAACTTTCAAACAAATAGTTCTTAAGTCCCTGCTTTTCTGCTATAACTCCATATCCACACACTCAGGATTAATTAAAAATAAGAAGACTCAAATCCTCCAAAATTATCCATTATGTAAGGTGGTAATGTAACCAAGAGAAGAGGACAAAAAAGTAAAAAAGTCCCTAAATTTGAGTTAAATATTATAGATTTCCAAAATGGAAATTACAGTCTGGATGAGTGACTTAACGCAAGTAACTTACGCACACAACTGAGAGTGAAATTTCTATTGTTAAATCAATGTGGTCATAAGTCAAGTTGGACCCAATTTCACGGCCATTTTTATGATGGTCATTGAGTAAATGCTGAAGTTCTAAGTGTGAAACCATGCTTCTTCTTGCTGAAAAGCAGCAAAAAAATCCCACACCAGGGGTCTCCAACCTTGGCGACTTTAAGACTTGTGGACTTCAACTCTCAGAATTCCACAGCCAGCTTTGCTTGAAGACTTGAAGTCCACAAGTCTTAAAGTCGCCAAGGTTGGAGACCCCTGCCCCACACCACCTTACCTTACAATCATGACTGCAAGACACTGCAACAGGTCATCAATGGTTTCCCAGTTTCCCAGCGTCTAAATTGCAATCATTTGGCCATGGGGGTACCACAACGGTCATTAGTACAAGGACTGGACTACATTCAGCACAATTGTAACCTTTGCTAAACAAATGGTCATATGTCAAGGACCACTTGACAAGGTTTAATGGCCCTGGGATAAATAAGCAATGGTGACTTAGGAAATTTAAATATTCAAAGCTGCATGTCTGGAGAAAGGTTTGAACAGTCTTTCGTGCCACGCTGGCCTAAACATTTTGAAGTCCCCCAAACTGCTATGCTGAAGCAAATCTGTTCTGCCCCAGCTACGGACCCCAAAGAACACAGCGTACACAAAGTCTGTACAAACTTTAGTTTACTAAATTAAGTAAGGTTTTTTTTTTCCAAACCAAGGGCTGTTAATTAACTTTCTTAACAGCCTACAAGAATCCAAAGAATAAATAATCTTAATCTTACTATGGTTGACAGAAAGCCCAGAAGCAATTTGCAAAGAACGAAGATCAAGGCCCGAAGGAGAGTGAACGAAGTTGTTCCCTGCAAATTGCTTCAGTCAGCGTTCTTCCTTAAATAGGCTAGGGGAGTGGCCAATTAGCCCCAAGCCTTACTCTCGAGGAGACCTCCTCCTGAGGAGCCACTCCTGCCTTTTGGCAGCTCTGCACACCCGTGTATCGAGAAGAGGCTCCTCCTCTTTGTTTTTTTCACTTAAGGGAGCTTCTGAAGGCCCTGGCTGAATCCCCGCCTCTGGCACCACATCTTCTCCAGCCTCCTCATTGTCCAACTCGAGTGCCAGCTGCACAGGCTGCTGGTGCAGCACCACACCAGCCTCCTCGCTGTCCGAATCAGCCACCAGCCACACAGGCTATGTACGGGCCACAACAAAATCTGATGCAGGTGGGAGATTTTGCAGTAACCTTCTCCTGGAGTGGGGTAGGAATGGAAATTTTACAGTATCTTTACCCAGCCATGCCCACCAAGCCATGCCACACCCACCAAGCCACACCCACAGAACCGGTAGTAAAAATGTTTGAAACCCACCACTGGGCTGGCCCCACCCCTCTATGTCCCGCCCCTTCCAGGAGTCCCCATTTTGGCTCCCAGGTAGGTGTAGGGAGGCCTACTAGGCCCAAAATGGGGCATGGGGAGGCACGGCGGGCCACCCTACGGCCCGTTTTTGCTCCCAGGTCTCTGTAGGGTGGCCTACTAAGCCCAAAACTGGGCGCACAGGGTGTGGTGCAGCCTTGCCCCCCCCCGGACCATTTTTACTCCTAGGAGGCTGCAAGAGGCCAAATGATGCCTGCCACACTCCCTGGCCATGCCCACCCAGCCAGTCATTAGGGCAGAGAACCGGTTGTTGAATTATTTGAATCCCACCACTGGTTAAAGGATCTGCACTCCAACTTCTGCTGATGTTCCCCCTTTATAAAGTTGGGAGAAAGTACTCTAAAACACACATGTGCACACCCTGCTTTTCTTAAGAAGTTTTTTTTAGACTGCCCAAAAAAAAGAAAATCGTCGTTTGCTGGCGGCCACAAATCCACAGAGTTGATTGACCCCACTCTGATATTTAACGGTGGCACAAAGTAAACGCTCATGTTACAAACAGATGTTCTCTGTGCTTCTGATGGTTCAGTTTGTTAAAGCCGAAGGTGAGTGAAGATGTAAAAAATAGCTTTGAAGTCCTGCTTCTAACGCTTACGAGTTCTGAGCTGTCCTGCATGCCAAGTGCATAAGAGAAAAACAAAGCCGCCATTTTGCTTTAGAAATTGAAATACAGATAAACATTCTCAGTGTAGAAAGTTAGCAGCCATTTCAATATTTTGGGAAATATTAAAAAGGCAGAATATTATATTTTCTATCTTACTTTTTTCTTTTTTAAAATCATTTTCTTATACTGAAAATTTCTGTTTTTTTTAAAAAGCCATATGAGTTATAGATGTTCCATTAGGAATACAATATAAAAGAACACATCAAAATAATTGTATAAACTTTTCTCTTTTCCCAAGTTTTAGCCCTTTTTTAAAGCCTGCAGTTGATTGCTTATAATTCCAGTTTCAGTCATCTTTCTGCCTTTAGCAAACTTAAGGCTCTGTTTAAACATAGCTTGTTTCTAAAATGCTGATCTGTTGGAGGTGGGACAGGAGTTATTTGTAAAAATAATAAAGGCGGAATATAAATAAATAAAACTAATTAATTAAAGTATTGGAATGGCTGAAGGGGAACCCTAAAATAACACATGCAGTATCCTGAGGAACAGATGGAAGTTGGTTTCTTATTTTTAGTCCAATGTGGTAAAGCTGCCAAATTTAAAACTCTTAAGAAATGACATATGAGGAGCCAAACCCCCCCCCCCCCGAAAGCAATACCCTTCAACTGCAAAAGACCGTATTTGAGGGTTACAACTTTCCAACTCAAAATTTCTTTCTTGAATGTGCTGGAAAGTCTGCAGCCCGTAATTTAAAACTGAACTCAACTTGATACTCTTTTCTGTCCATGTACACCTCTGCAGGGTGCATCGAAGTTAGCATCTCGTGCTCGATGCGCCACGAAGCTCATGTTTATCCTGACATCCATGTGCGCTAAGCCACAATTTTGATAAACACGTGTGTCAAAGCATTGGGAAGTACAATATGTGTGCCTTGGATGGCTGGGTGCGGGGAGCTGGTGTTTTTTTCCAGCAGAAAAAGTGCATTTATTACGATTTTTTTTTAAAAAAACAACTACTGGAGATGTGATTTAATATTTAGATATTTAAAGGGAACTCATTTTGAGTACTTCCAACCCACACAGTGCCAGAACATGCATTAGAATTGACTTTATTTTTATTGATTATTTGATTGATTGATTGATTAGATTTTAACCTGTCTTTATTACTTCATAGATTAACTCAAGGTGATGCATATAAATAATATTCCTTCCTCCTTCTATTTTCCCACAACTACTACTCTGTGAAGGTGGATTGGACTGAGATAGAGTGACTGGCACAAAGTCACCCAGCCAGCTTTCATGCCTAAGGCAGGACTAGAACTCACAGCCTCTTGACAATTAGCTCAAAGTCACCCAGCTGGTTTTCATGCCTAAGGTGCAGTGGTGGGTTGCACCCGGTTCGCACCGGTTCTATAGAACCGGTAGTAAAACCGGCGGGAGGCTCCGCCCACCGACCCCGACATCATCAAAACATTTCTGCGCATGTTGCGAACCGGTAGTAAAGGTAAGTAGAACCCACCCATGCTAAAGTGGGACTAGAATTCACCATCTCCTAGTTTCTAAGCCAGACCCATACCTAAGGCAGGACTAGAACTCACAGTCTCCTGGTGATTGGCTCAAAGTTGGTTTTCATGACTATGGCGCAACTAGAATTTACCATCTCCTGGTTTCTAAGCCAGCATCTTAACCAGGTATGGGATCCTACTGGTTGAACAACCGGTTCGCTGCACGTGCACAATTTCCAAAACATTGAACTTACACATTGCAAAGGAAAGGAGCAAGGAAAACAGCTGAGGAGGGCCGATTCAATTTGCCGCCCCTGATCAGCTGGGCTTCAGAAGCAGAAAAAAAGGTCAGTATAATCCGGGGGTGGGCGGGCAGGCGGCCCCACTTTCACAGCAACAGAGAACCGGTTTGCTCTTGGTGGGAAGTGGGAACTGACGGTCCGAACTGGTAGAATCCCACCATTGATGTTAACCATTATACTAAAGATATGGGGACTGTATTCTAGAAGTCACAATTGCTAGCCAGAATAGTGAAGCACAATAACCCTTCACAATAACCCTTGTTTAGACAGATAGATATACATCTACATCTACATCTACATCTACATATACAAATACATCAGAGGTGGGTTTCAGCAGGTTCTGACCAGTTCTGGAGAACCGGTAGCAGAAATTTTGAGTAGTTCGGAGAACCGGTAGTAAAAATTCTGACTGGCCCCGCCCCCATCTATTCTCTGCTTCCCGAGTCCCAGCTGATTGGGAAGAAATGGGGATTTTGCAGTAATCTTCCCCTGGAGTGGGGTGGGAATGGAGATTTTACAGTATCCTTCCCCTGACATGCCCACTAAGCCACACCCACAGAACCGGTAGTAAAAAAAATTGAAACCCGCAACTGATATACATACATACATACATACATACACACATATCTCTTCTACAGAGCAATGGCTTGTTCTAAGAAATCATCCTTTGCTTGTCCTTCCATTCCTTTTTTTCCCCCATGCCTTCCTTCCATGATTTCTCTCCAACCTTAACGAAAAAAAGGGAGAAACTTACCGAGTGGCATTTTCTAATGCCCTGGAGAAGGAAGCATACTCAGTGGATGAATGTTCTAGGGAATAAAACCAGGTAGCTGCATCCTGAATGAGAAGGTTGGACTCTTCACCGCCCAAAGAGTTTTGGAGGGCCTGATAAAAAGCGGTTTTGCTATTGGCCCGGCCTTGTCTTTCTTCAAAACGCTAATTAGAGAGGAAAAGAGCATGCAGAAGAATTCAGAAAGCCACTTCACACTCAAAAATGGTGGTTGGCATTTAACAAAAATGTATACAATACAGTTAAGCAATTACATGTTCATCATTGGTGCACAACGGGGGGGGGGGGGTTCTGCCCTCCCTGGGCTCCAGAGGCTTTCCTCGAGCCTCCGGGAGGGTGAAAACGGCCTCCCCAAGCTCCGGAGGCCCTCTGGAGCCTGGAAACAGCACTTCCCAAACTTTCAGTAGGCCTGTTTTTCGCCCTCCCTCGAGCCTCACCGCACGTCCTGCATCCAAAATGGGCTGCATGGGGACTCCTGGGAGGGGAGGGGAGGGGTGGGCGGGGCCAGCCAGGAGTGGGATTTGGCGGTTCTCCGAACTGCACAGAATCTTAGCTAGAGGTTCTCCTGAACTTCTGTGAAGCAACCTAGCAACCCACCCCCTGACTACAGGTGCTCAGAATCCAATAAGATGTCTCAAGGCTGAGATCCTGAAAAGATCCTGATCTAGCACAGAAACTCAGGTCAGACTCTCTAGGAATCACACCTGGTGTGTGAATCATTATCCAGCCAGCAACAAAGAATGTTTCAGTTTACCAATTTTACTCTCAGTGGAAGCCAAAACTATTTTAAGGGGATTTTCCCTATCCATTTAAGGAAATATTTTTGAAATATATATATGTATGGATGTATTTGTATGTACACCTACACACACACATCCCACACAGACCCCCCCCCTTCTCTTTTTAAAGACTATATTGCTTCCAACCTGCAGATTATTTTTCCACCCCTGCATTGGCTACAGAACAATTTCCTGAAAAACTGGGAATCTAAGAATTCCTCATGGACCCTGCTGCTGATGGTTATTGGCTTAAAAACTCGGTTTCAATAATCCTTTTTTCCAAATCGTTTCAGAGTTGACATCTAATATATTTTTAAAAATTTCTTAGTGTTGGCCTAACTCAGTTTTTTTTTTAAGGTTCTGGTTTTTACACTAAAAATGATTATGGACACGTAAGCCCATAACTGCCAGATCTCTTGAGGTCAATTTGCACTTTGATTGAACTCTATAGGTTTATGATGAACTATTAATACTGGTAGTCCTTGACTTACAACAAAAGCTCCATTTTCACTGGCAGAGGGTTGCAGGCAGCCATCCAAGGCAAAAATGGAGATTCGGAGTCCATTTTCACTGGCAGAGGCACCATGGCAGTGGTGGGTTGCCCCCAGTTTGCACCGGTTCTATAGAACCGATAATAAAACTGATGGGAGGCTCCGCCCACTGACTCCGACGTCATCTGAACGCTTCTGTGCATGCGCAGAAGAGTGTGCGTGCGCGCGAGCGAAGCGAGCCCTGTTGCACACCAGTAGTAAAGGTAAGTAGAACCCACCCCTGCACCACGGGCCAGTCCTTCACTGTTTCCAGGACGGCCCCACGGGTCACATCTAAGCATCCCGCCTTGAGTTTGACACCCCTGCAAATAAGGCATGAAAAATTTCTTTCTTCTTGGTTGTTCTGTGGATGAAGATAGTCTCTTTGAAAGATGTCCAACTGCTATTGTTCACGGTTCTTTGGGCAAAAGGAGCTGCTGAAAGAAGTTAGAAAGTGACGGTGTACAAAATTGAGATGGTCCTTCTCGTTCGGTTTCCGGAAGTATATAATAGCATGTTAAAAGGAATGATGAAAAGACGGAGATCAGCAGAGAGAGCATTCCAGACAAAGGAAAGGAAAAGATCAAATCAGATCACTTGGGACTTAGAAATGAAAAGACCAGACTAAAAGGAAAATAAGTTTCGATTTATCGGGTGGAGGTAATCTACTTAATACTATTTCACTCTTGGATTCTTTAGTGTATTCACAGACATTTGGATCCTGGTTATCTTAATTTGAAAAACATGGACTCTTTCTAACTGACTGCTGTTGTTGTTTAGTCACTAAGTTGTGTTGACTCTTCGGGTCCACATGGACCATGGCATGCCAGAATTTCCCATCCAGGGTTGATATTCACTTACTTTCCCTACCGGTTCGCAAATGTGAGTGTGCACACGCTCATTTCGATTGCACGCACCCCGACCACGCATGCGCCTGTCCTTCCATGCATGTGCTTTGCTGGCGCGTATGCCTTCCGCGCATGTGCCTGGCCTCAAAAACATGCCTAAATAGGATGGCATAGAGCCCACCCACGATTTCCGCTACCGGTTTTGCCAAACTGATCCAAACCAGCTGAATACCACCTCTGTTCCTGTCCTCCACTGTCTCCTGGAGTTTGCCCAACTTCATGTTCATTGTCTCAATGACACTATCTAACCATCTCATCCTCTGCCGTCCCCTTCTCCTTTTGCCTCCCATCTTTCCCAACACCAGTGTCTTCTCCACTGAGTCCTCTCTTCTCATTTGGTGGCCAAAATATTTGAGCTTCAGCTTCAGCATCTGTCCTTCCAAAGAGCAGGGTTGATTTCCTTTAGGATTTGTGTGACTATATACATGTTGTGGTCCGCCAGCAGCCTGCGGAGCTGGCAGCTCAGTCGGACAGTGAGGAGGCTGAGGAAGAACATGGGCCAGTCTTGGAGGCTGGGGAAGGCCCAGATGAGGGCTCTGCGTCGGAGGCAGAGATGGGGCCAGGGCCATCGGGTTGTGATGTGCGGACTCCAGAGCCTCCAGAGGCTGACAGCAGAGAGGCAGAGGAACAGGAGGATCCTGTTTCTAGTGCACGCATGAGAATAGCTGCCAGAAGGCAGGAGCAGCTGAGGCAAAGGGGACGACTCAGGAGTAAGGCCAAGAGATGATTGGCCCCTCCCATAAGGCTTAAAAGACCAGCAACGGCTCTTGGCCTCTTTGTCGGAAAACAACGTTGATAGATTTGTTTCTTGTCTTGCTGCATTGATTTCTTGTCGGCGTCTTCTGCTTCTGAACTTTTGCCAAGAAAAGCCTTTGGCAGGTTGCCTAATTAGACCAAGGTTGGTGATAAGGCTGAAGAACTGTGTTATGAAGAATTTGTTTTGAATTAGTTTGGACTACGCTGAGAATGAGTTAATTCTCAGCTGTTCTAATAAAGTCTGTTTGTTTTCGAACTGATTGCGTCTGATAATACCTACTTGGGCCTGGGTCACAACAATACAGCAAATCGAAGTTTCTCTGATTTAAGGGTCTGTGTTTCTGCTATTAGTTCTGATGCGTTGATTCGTACCACCACAACTATCTTGGCCCTTCCAGAGATCTTGGAATCATGCAGACTTCTGAGAATTGTGCTGTCAACATATATGTTGCAGAATGGTGCAGCAGGCTGTCCAAATGAAGTCAGAGCTACTGATACGAACTTGTAGTTTTATATAAATAAATATATTTGACATCCATATTTGCGGGAAGACATGATAATCAGGAACACAGGAACATCATGAGGTAAAATTAAACAGCATACAGAACACCCAGAAGGGGAAAAAAAGGCGGGGGAAAGGGGAAACTCCCCCTTTATACTTACAGCAACCAATCAGAGCACAGATTGCCTCATGCATGAGTCAGCACTCTCGCTAAGTAATCAACTACAACTATGTGTTGTGGTCCATTGTACGCTTTACTCTTCCGACTACTCAGTTTAATATCCTAACAATATGGTAGCTTCTACCGATAGTCCTCGACTTTACGACTGCAATTGGTCGTAAACAAAATTATTTGTTTGTTTGTTCAATTTCTATAGCTGCCTATCTCAGTCAATGACTCTGAGTGACTTACAATTCAGAATTTAACAAATGCTTCACTTAGCAACAGAAATTTTGGGCCTGGCATTTCTGCTTACCTTAATCGCCTTTGCACGACTGATCAGCCCATCCTGTTGTGAACTTCCAATGAGTAGGTCCAACTTTGAAAGTCGAGAACGTTGCAAAGCAGCCGGAAAAGGTTCTTGCACATAAGATCCATCAACAACTGGACCCCAATACTGGAATGGCCCACTTATGGCAAGGAGCTACACAAAGAACCACAAAAAGGTTAGCATAGGAGTGGAAAAAACGTGGAGTAAACCCTATTAATGCCAGAATGGAGTAAGAAGTGGGGCAGAAAGCATCAATGGCCAATGGTAATTGAGAAGAAAGAAAACACCATTATAATCTTACTAGTAACTTTTACTAGAGGCAGACTAGGGAACTGCTTGTGCAAATCAGAATTGTGTATTAATAGTTTATGGCTAGTTGCACCTACAACAGTTCAAAAACAGCTGAACCTACAAGTTCCTTTGTCCTTCAGTGCCTGTGTATAGGCCTGGAAAAATCATTCAGTACCTCCAGAAAGTAGTTTTTGATAAAAAGATTGGCTACCCTTCATTCTCAGTTGCTGTTCATAGGTGTTTCTCACGAGGGAGGGAGGGAGGGAGGGAGGGAGAGAGAGAGAGAGAGAGAGAGAGAGAGAGGGAGAGAGAGAGAGCTATCAGCTATTATCATAACAACATTTTTGATCGTTTGTATCTTTCTGATCCATCTTCAGCGGCATAAATATTATATAATTGGATTCTTCTATAACAAACAACAATCCTAAGGACTAAAGAGACATCACAGCTGCTTCTTCCTTCTTTAGAAAAGCACTCCCATCGTCTCTAAACCAATGTTTGCCAATCTTGGCAACTTTAAGATGTATGAACTTCAGTTCCCATAATTCTCCAGCCAGCCATGCTCAAGAGATATTTATACCAAAGTACATATGGGGACGAGCTAAATAAATTGCAACCTGAACTGTTTTCTTTTTCAGGAAGGAAGAAGAAAAAGAAGAAAGAAAGAAAGGAAGGAAGGAAGGAAGGAAGAGGAGGAGGGAGGGAGGGAGGAGGGAAGAAGGAGGGGGAGGGAAGGAAGGAAGGAAGGAGGGAGGGAGGGAGGGAGGGAGGAAGGAAGGAAGGAAGGAAGGAAGGAAGGAAGGAAGGAAGGAAAAGAAGGAGAAAGGAAGGAAAGGAAGGAAGGAAGGAAGGAAGGAAGGAAGGAAGGAAGGAAGGAAAAATAATTTCACATTCCTTTCCTTTACCTATTTAGACCTTTCTCTAACATTCAACCAGAAGCTGCTTCCTATAACTCAAGACCCATTATCCGGTGCCCTGCGTCTGTTCCAGTGGCGGGTTGCTTCCGGTTCTGTCCGGTTCTTTAGAACCGGTAATAAAAGCGGCAGGAGGCTCCGCCCACCCACCCAAACGTCATAATTGACGATCTGCACATGCACAGAAGCGCAAGCGCACGAGCGAAGCAAACCAGTAGTAAAGATAAGTAGAACCCACCCCTGGTCTGTTCAAAGGGGCTCAAGGGAGCTCTTATGACAACAAGGAGTGACACACGGCCCTTTTGGCATGTGCACAGTGGTGCGTATATGAAAGAAATAATTCTATTCCTTTTCTCATTTTCTCCTGGAGGCAGTTGAAATAACTTTGTCAAAAATATGAATTGCTTGCTTGCAGAGGGCCTGTGGACCTACAGGCCTTGCAGGTCTCAGATTCATTTCCCATTCTCATTTGCTGGTGGGGCTGAGGTTGCACATACTTAAAGCAACGGACAGTTCACAACTAATTCATCAAATGTACAGTGCTGGTTTTATTTTATTTATTTTTTTGTTCTACTTCCTTCCGAGCCAAGAGAGACATTCCTCTTTCGAGAAGACATTCATCCCAATATGATGTGGTAATTTGGTTCAATTATGAAAATAACTGAAATCAGGAGATAAAATTGAAATGTAAAAAAGTGCGATGGGGATTTTGAAATAATATGTTGTAAATGATGAAATAAAATAATTGATTGAGGCTATAATAAGAAATTAGGAATTAAGAGCAGATAGTGATATTGTTTATTATGTATCAAGAAGACATTAAGATAAGATCTGGAAGGTCAATTAAGTTAAAGGGTTTCAATGTATGAATTGAATAAGATGAAGTACATTGTTTATAGCTAAAAAATGTAATGGGGATTTTGAGAAATATGTTTTATAAATGGAGAAATACAATAATGAATTGAAGCAATGTTAAGAAATTGAAGGGCGGGTGGTGATATTGTTTATATGTTATGTATTAAGAAGAGATTAAGATAAAATTAAAAAAGTAGGGAAAAAATATGATAGCAGAAATTGAAATATGTAAATTGTATTTGGAAAAAAACAAAAAAGAAGATTGGAATAGAATATACAAAATCAATATATGTTATAAATTTTATAAAATGTGACCCGGTCAATACTCTGTTCATAAAATATGTATATAAAAGAAAAAATTAATAAAACTTGCTTTTTTAAAAAAAAAGAGAGAGAAGACATTCATCCCACATACCAGAGGGACTTTTTTTTCCTAGATTGGCACACCCATGCATTTAAACGGTGCATCCCAAAATAATGAACGCACCTTGGTTTGTGCGTCGTTAAGTGTTTTGGCAGGCAACTGGCGAAGGCACGAGACAATGTCAGGATTGCTGGTGGATAGGCAGCCCACTTCGCGAGCCAAAACGGCAGCTTGGGATTCTGCTTTCTTTTTGCTGAGCGTTATCGCTGGAGAGAAAGCCGATCCGCCCTAAGAAAAGAAAAAGGGAGAATTAAGTTGACAGTGGAGCTGTGTGTATAACCTGAATGCCTGCTTTTAAAAGGGACATCAAAAAACCTAGAAAGGAAGAAAAAAAAAACACTCAAAAGGTATCCAGCAATTTCATTTCATTTCAACCACAGGCCAGAAGCATTAAAACATACAGTCAGGTCCAGAAATATTGGGACATCGACACAATTCTAACATCTTTGGGTCTATACACCACCACAATGGAGTTGGAATGAAACAAACACAATGTGCATTAACTGCAGACTGTCAGCTTTAATTTGAGGGTATGTACATCCAGTGAACGGTGTAGGATTTACAGCAGTTTGGATCCACCCAAATCGGATCGCCCAATCTGGTAGCAATAGTGGTGGGTGGTTCGGAGAACTGGTAGCGAAAATCCCTGCCTCCCCCCCTCCAACGCCCAACTGAGCCGCACGATCATCAGAGGCTTTTTTTTTTATTTTTAAAAGCATTTTTTCTACAACCTCTTCGGTCAAAAAAATGCTTTTAAAAGTAAAAAAAAAAAAGCCTCTGATGATCGCGTGGCTCAGCTGGGATCGTCAGAGGCTTTTAAAAGCATTTTTTTACAACCTCTTCGGCTGAAGAGGTTGTAGAAAAAATGGTTTTAAAAGTTAAAAAAAAAAGTTGGCCATGCCCACTCAGTCACATTACCCCCCCAACCAAGCCACGCCCACAAAACCGGTAGTAACAAATTTTACATTTCACCACTGACTAGGGGAGACATGATAGCAGTGTTTCAATATCTCAGGGGCTGCCACAAAGAAGAGGAAGTCAAGCTATTCTCCAAAGCACCTGGGGGCAGAACAAGAAGCAATGGGTGGAAACCACTGGTGGAATTCAAAAATTTTTACTACTGGTTCTGTGGGCATGGCTTGGTGGGCGTGGCAGGGTAAGGATACTGCAAAATCCCCATTCCCACCCGATTCTGGGGCCAGCCAGAAGTGGTATTTGTCGGTTCTCTAAACTACACAAAATTTCTGCTACCAGTTCTTCAGAACCTGTCAGAACCTGCTGGATTTCACCCCTGGTGGAAACTAATCAAGGAGAGAAGCAACTTAGAACTAAGGAGAAATGTCCTGACAGTTAGAACAATTAATCAGTGGAACAACTTGCCTCCAGAAGTTGTGAATGCTCCAACACTGGAAGTTTTTAAGAAGACGTTGGATAACCATTTGTCTGAAGTGGTGTTGGGTTTCGTGCCTAGGCAGGGGGTTGGACCAGAAGACCTCCAAGGTCCCTTCCAACTCTGTTATTTTGTTAGACATATACCAAAAATGCATTATTTTAGCAATTTCCACGAAGGGGATAACATGCCCTCAGATTGATAGAAGAGAAGCCAGTTGGGAAGATTACAATTTTTTAAAAAATTGTCAAGAAAGCCAACTGGGTCAACAATTGGAAAGAGTCACTCATTTCATCTGGATTAGTCCTGAGTTAGGTTTTTTTTTTTTTTATCAGATGATAATTAGAACTGCATAAAAAACAATGGCTACCAGTATACAGGACCTGTATACTGCACGAGTCAAAAAGAGGGCTGTGAAAATATTTACAGACCACTCACATCCTGGACATAAACTGTTTCAACTCCTACCCTCAAAACGACGCTATAGAGCATTGCACACCAGATCAATTAGACCCAAGAACAGTTTTTTCCTGAACGCCATCACTCTGCTAAACAAATAATTCCCTCAACACTGTCAAACTATTCACTAAGTCTGCATTACTATTAATCTTCTCATCGTTCCCATCACCCATCTCCTTCCACTTATGACCGTATGACTGTAATTTTGTTGCTTGTATCCTTACAATTTATATTGATGTTGTTTCCTGATTGCTTATTTGTACCCTATGACTATCATTAAGTGTTGTACCTTATGATTCTTGACGAATGTATCTTTTATTTTATATACACTGAGAGCGTATGCACCAAGACAAATTCCTTGAGTGTCCAATCACGCTTGGCCAATAAAGAATTCTATTCTATTCTATTCTATCATGTTTTGATTGCATTGTCCACAATGATGGTATTTGCAAATCAATAGAAGACTCTCCTGTTGTCTTGCATTTTGCTTCTCCTTTTCTTTGTGTTCTTATCTTACTTCCCCATTTCAGCAGCTAGAATCTTCTAAATTTCATAAGAAAGATATATTCGCCTTAAATAAAGAGTGCGTAATTAATTTTAAAGGAACTTCTGTTTGCATGAAAGAAAAGGAAATATAATCAGATATATATGAGCTTTAGAACAGCAAGGCTAAATTAGCAAAAATCTAGTTGCAGAAATGATTAAATCAAAGTTTGGAACAAGGTTACTGAAAACTTGTTTTTTTTAAAAAAAAAAATCACTCCCTTTCCATCCATCCCACTCCCACCCACCCTTAATTCATGCACGGAAATATGACTGACTACATGGAAAATATCTTTTTCATTGACACCTGGCATAAATATTTACTGTTCATAACACAGTTATTGTTCCATGCCATCTGGAGACATAAATGTATGTTCAGAAACTGTTTTGTCTCAGGATTTGCTCAACAACTCTTCAATTTAACAAATGCAGCTCTGGAAAAAAAATACTTTGATAAGTACAATTTTGGAAAGCAAATTTGAAGGTTAAACTGAACCTGGTGCAGCTGATTCCTGAATAGGCATCAACATTTAATACGGGTTGTCCTTGGCTTATAACAGTTCATTTGAAGTTACAACAGCACTGAAAAAAGTGACTTATGACCAGTTTTCACCCTTATGACCATTGCAGCATCCCCATGGTCACGTGATCAAAATTCAGATGCTTGGCTAGTACTGACTCATATTTATGACGATTGCATAATAAGTGTCCCTAGATTGTTTGATCACATTTTGCGACCTTCTGGCAAGCAAAGTCAATGGGGAAGTCAGATTCACTTAACAACCATGTTACTATCTTAACAACTGCAGGGATTCACTTAATAGTTGTGGCAAGAAAGTTTGTAAAATGGGGCAAAACTCACTTAACAACTTTCTCGCTTAGTAACAGAAATTGTTATATGTTGAGGACTACCTGCCCAGAATATTGGTCTTCCATCTACTAAAGTAAAGTAGATAGCTCTCCTTGCCCCATAACAAAATCAGAATTTCTGCTTCAGGGCTCCAAGTGCTAAAAGTAGACAGACACACTGATTTTTTTCTAGCAGCAAATTTTTAAGGTCCTTGATATTATAAATATTCTGCTGGTTTCTATATTGCTTCCTCCAACTGGTTGGTTGTTGTGGCCCGCCAGCGGCCAGCGGATCTGGCAGCAGATTCGGACAGTGAGGAGGTTGGGGAGGAACATGGGCCAGTCCTGGAGTCTGGGGAAGGCTCTGATGAGGGCTCTGTGTCGGAGGCAGAGAGGGGGCCAGGGTCGTATGCCAGTTATCAGCTGCCTTCAGAGTCAGACATCAGTGGGGCAGGCAAACAGCTGGAACCTGTTCCCAGTGTGTGCATCAATGGTGGGTTCCTCCCGGTTCAGTCCAGTTCGGCCGAGCCGGTAACGGTGACGATATGACGTCACGGTTCTCCCCCCCCCCCCCCCCCCACCCCCCCCACCCACATTATTCTTACCTTTTATTTGGTCCCACCCCCAATCTATTGCTACCTCCTGAGTCCCAGCTGATGACTAGAGGGAAAAAAAACTGTTTAAACTCTTGCCGCGGGGCTTCAAAGGGCCGCCCTACAGCTGATCAGTGTTAAAAGCAAACAAATGAGTCGGGTCGTAAGTGCGAGGACCTTCCAGAAATGACTCTGACCAGCTAGCCACGCCCACCTAGTCACATGACCTCCAAACCACACCCACAAAATAAGCCACACCCACAGAATCGGTATTAAAAAAATGTAGAACCCACCCCTGGTGCGCATGCACAGCTAAAGAACAAGGGTCGACTTGGGAGTAAGGCCACAGGTGGACGATGAAGGGCCCCTCCCAGAGGGAATAAAAGAGGAGCGAAAGGGGAGTGGAGTTTGCAGGAGACAATTACTTCATTCCTGCATTCTTGCCAAGTATTGCGGTGTCTGAAAGATATCGGCCTGGCCACTCTCCAAGCCTGATAAAGGTCTATCTTGAAAGACTGTGGGAGAGGAAAGACTTTGCTGGAGAGGAATTCACTGTAGATTAAATAAAAGGGGTTTATCGGGACGAGGACTCAGCTTCGTGCTGCTGGGGAAGCCTAGTCAGAACATTGGTCTCCAGGAAAGTCTCACCGTTTGCATTTAAAAGAGTGTGATATATAGAGCAAATTTCTGAGTAATAAGAAATCTGGGAACAGGTCTAGTTCCTATACAATGTCATTCCTATTCCTATGTCAAGTGGAAAGCGTCCTTATGCTGTTGTAACTATTATCGCTTCTCTGCTTGCCAACAGACCAGGGGGAGGGAAGGGTGAGCCTGAAATGTGAATTCCAGACTTCGAGGAGGAGAGGCGTGAGACCCAAGGACACATCTGCAGGTGTTAGCCGAACCCAGAGATACTTTCTCATAACAAAACAACAACACTTAATTGGACAATGTGAACTGCACTATGGAGGGAAGGGGGGAAATTCATATTGAACTATTTGGGTTTGTGGGGAATTAGGTAGAGCTGGTTTTGCCTTCAACAATGCTGAAATGACACACTCAATAAAGTTTTGCAATGAGATGTTGGGAGGTCTCAAGCATGCTTGCTTTGTTTGGGATCATCAGTCGGGACGTTGACAAGTGATTTACAACTGCTTCTCTCACTTAAGACAATCCCAGCATCCCTACGATCATGTGACCAAAATCTGGGAAACTGGCATGTACTTACGATGGTTGCAACATCTCAAGGTCATGTGACCATTTGCAACTTTCCCAAGTAGTTTCCAACAAGTAAAATCAAGCTGCATTTGCATTAAAACTGTGTGATTCGCTTAAGAACTGCAGTGATTCGCTTAACAACCAGGACAAAATTATTTTGGGCTAAATTATTTAAT